CACGAGCCCAGCTCTGCAGGACCCAAATCAGGTGCCAAACCGCAGCACCCCTGGGGGCTGGCGGCTCCTGATGGGGGCAAGGGAGGGGGCAGGAAGGGAAGTGTGGCCACCACTGTCCGGGCCACTGCCCCAGCCCTGTGCTTGTGTGGCAGAGGGGAAGGGGGAGGAAGAGGAGGCCCCGACCCTCCTGCCCTGCCCAGTGGACCCCTCTTGCTCTCCCTACTGCTCAGCAGGGCTGACTGACCTGAAGGGCAGACTCGAGTGGCAACGAGTGCAAATACTGGCTCCATCTCAAAGGTGGAGGCTTCGGGGTGGGGGAAGGAGCGTGTCAGGGTGCGGTATGATGAGCAGGGGCTGAGCGGCAGTCCTGTCAGAGAGGACAGACAGCAGCACTGCCAGGCCAGGCCACCCCACCCTTTACACTGGCTTGGGTGGGCAAAGCTTCAGCCCTGCCCCTGTGGGGAGACCAGAGGAGGTGCTTTGGGCACAGCCAGCCGCTCCAACCCCATCCCTCCAGGCTCATTTTCACAGGCCGCTGGCTTGTCTTCTGGCTCTTCTTGTCATGCAGAGCTTCGCTGCCTGTCCCCTCTTCCAAGGGACACTCCCTGAAAATCCCAGTCCCTCCCCACCCTATCACTCCACTATTTTTTTTTTATTGAGTCATAGTTGATTATACATATTTTGGGGGTTCAATATTGACATATGTTGATCAAATCAATATTACTAGCATATATATTGTTACAAATTGTACGTATTCTTTATGCCCCTTGTCCGATCTCTCCCTTCCCCCCTCTCCCCGCTCCCACCACTGATAACTCTAGATGTCTTCTCTCCTTCTGAAAGAGTAATGGTTACTCTATTGATTTGTTGCCTACATGATCCGTCCAATGCTGAGAGGTGTGTTCAGGTCCCCACAGCCATCATGGTAACCACGGCTGCCGTGTAAGTGGCTAGACATCAGGACCACCATGCAGATGGTCTGCCAGCCACTGGAGTGCATTGACACCGGAGAGTCTCCAAAGAAAAGAAGAGGCTGTCTCTCTCCACAAAGCCCGTTCCAGAGTGACAGGAGAAGCATCTGCTCTATGATAATATTGGGGGACCCGAACACACCTATCTCCCTTTTAATGCTCCACACAGTGCCCGGGGAACATCTTGTGTCCGTCCCTTCGCTACACTTAGGCCCCTTATAAGCTGGGATCTATCACTGTCCCTAATGGCCGGCCCCCTTCCTGGTCTCAGCCCTGTCATTGACTGGTTTCTGGACCCCGGAAAATGTCTTTTCCTTCCCTTTCCTGAGCTTGTTTCCCTCTCTGTTACATTTCCACGGGGGTGGGCAAGCGACTTCTAGTTGGGAACATCAGACCCTTGGCCAGCCCCACTCTTCGCCCCGCTGCTCCCAGGCACCTCCCTGGGGCTATCCGGGCCCAGCCTTCCCAAGGGGGTCTTTCTATCCCAGCCTCTGACCCCCCTCCCAGGCAGCCCTTTCCCAGACCCACCCAGTCCTCCTGTGCTGTCCTCCAGGAGGGGTGCAGAGATGAGGGGCCTTTGGTGGGCAGAGAGAGACCCCTCCTGGGGAGAGGAGAAGCAAGCCCAGGACCCCTGAGGTGGTGTCCTCACCAGACTAAGCTTTCTTCCTGTCAGACCTCCACTCTTTGCTTCTGGAGGCCATTAGCTCCAACAGGGGGCTAGCCGCGCCTCCACCCCTCCAGGAGAGAGGGGACCATCTGTGCCACTTCCCAGGAGCAGGCTGCAAAGGAGATTCTCTGACAGGGACAGGCAAGCCCGGGCGTGACCTTGTTTGGGCCCAAGGCAGGGGCCCTCCCTCCCCACCACCCACCCACCGGAGGTCCAGCATCCACATCGCCTCCAGCTGGCTCGCCTGCCCACTCCACCAGGCCCCTGTCCCTCTCCCTCCCCAGTGGCCCCCTTCCCTCCTTTCCTGCGTGCCCGCCCCTAAAGCCAACCTCAGGCCAAGGCCCAGGGGCCACCTTGCTCATTACAAAACACAGGGCTCTAGCCAGCCAGACTCCTGATGGAAGTGCTCATTTGTCTTTCGTGAAATTTCGCTCCTGCCTGGGGAAAAATAATCCTGAAAAGGACACAAGACACAGATGCAAGAGAGCCTCAAGGGGGCTCTTCTCCAAAGGGGCCTGGCCTGGGCAGTTGGGGGATCTGGCCAGTCTGGGAGGCAAGAGGCCTGAGTACGAGACCCTGCTCTGCCTCATAAAGAACGCTGAGACCTGAGTCTTGATAATCATTTCACCTCCTGGAGTGTCAGGGTCCTGGCTGTTAAAATGGGGCCCTATCCTGAAAGCCCCCTGCAGTTACTAGCCAGTCTGAGATTTCTACAGGTCATCGTTAACCAGGGATGATGGGGGAATAGCAAGGACAGAGCCCCCAATCCTGCTGCAGGGACCCCTCCTTGGGGCAGCCCCTCCTCCAGGGAGGCCAGGCCACGCGCAGGCCCACTCCTTCCTCCCATGTCTTCCTACCCCCCACCAGGGCCCCAAGCCTCTCATGAAGCCACCCATGAAACCACAAGCTCTTGGCTTCCTGTACTCAGCAGTGTGACTGACACCCCCACCCCGCCCAGCCAGCCAAATCACCAGATTCCTCTTTGGGGGCCCCAACTTCTTTATCTGCAAAATGGGAATGAATGGGACAGACAAGAGGGTCCTCACACGGTCCCTTCCACTCGGAGATGAGCTCTCAGGAGACTTCCCTGGGCTGCCCTCCCCAGCATGGAGGGGGAGGAGGGGCGAGGAAGGATGGGATGGCACTGGGGACAGGGGAGGTGGCAGTGGAGGGAGGAGGGGAGGCGGCACTTGGGCCCACCTCCCAGAAAGACAGGAGGTGGGTGGGGGCAGGGCTGTTTTGGTGGCACCTGTTTTGGGTCTTTTGCAGAGCTGGCCCCTCCCCGGGTTTCAAGAGCTGCTCGTCATATCACAACAGAGGGAATTTGGGAAGGGAGGGCGGCTGGGGGGAGGCGGGGGAGTCTGGACAAACTGGCACATACACGACAGATGTTTGCTCAGAAAAATACAGTAAAATCGTCATGCAAATATAACAGGGAATCTGCTTTCTCCTGCCACCGGCTTCTCTGCCTGCTTGCTTTCCTCAGTTTTGCCAACTGGGTGTGAGGAGGGGGTAGGCGCAGGTTTGGGGGGTTGGGGGAGGTCTGCTCTGCACATCCATGCGGGCCCCCTCCCCTCCACTCCCCAGGAGAACAGTCTTTTCTTTGTAAATGTCACCCCCAAAGTGAGCCCTTGGCTTGGAACCTGCCCAAAGTTGGTGAGAGAGGCGTAAGGCCCGCTAGCCCTCCTGTCCTCCCAATCCCAACCTATAGCAGAAATGTCCCGGAGTCCCCCAGGGATGGCACTAGCCTTCCTCGTCAGCCCCCCACATACAGGTCTTGGTCCCACCCAAGCACCCACCCTCACCCCACAGTCCCACTCCCCAAATCTCAAGAAACCCAGTGGGTGACAGGCCACAGCCGGGGGCCTCTGGCATGGGCAGGGGAGAGCTGAGAGGGCTCCTCCCCATCCCGAGGTGGGAAGGAGCCGAGGGCACACCGGAAGGTGGGCAAAGCTGCCCAGTACCGCTGTCCCCACCCCATGGCCCACCTCCCACCCGAAGGTGAAGGGACAACCAACTCTGGCCCCTCAGCATCCTGACCTGTCAAGACCCTACAGCCTCAGAACCCCAAACTTGCAGCCCCCCTACTCCGAGCTGGCCCCAGAAAGTCCCTGGCTCTTGAGAACCGGCAGCCCTGCTCTGGCCCTGCCCTCCCTCACCGCCCTCTGCCGCCGCCCACACTGAGAACCCCCAGAGCCAATGTCTCGCTCTGGGCACCAACTGCCAGGCACCGGGTTGCCATGGCGACAGAGGCTGGCTAGGGAGGGGGAGGGGCTCCACAAACCCAGCCTGCTCCCCCCCAACCCCAAGTGGCGGTGGGGGGTGACCTCACTGTTTGTGCTTTGTTCGATGTTGGGTGGGGGTCAGGAAGAGGGGAGGGGCCGTTTCCATGGAAACACGAGAGCCCCTGGGGTTGAGGCAGAGATGGGCAGCCAAGAGGGGGTGACTGGGAAAGCCCTCTTTCCTCTGCACAGGCTGAGACGCTGCCCCAAGATCCCATATGGGGGGCCAGGCAGGTGGAGTGCAGGATGGTGGGCACGGGCAGGAAGCCCCCATCACACGCCACCGCCCCCAGGCATCGCAGTTTACTGCTGCTCTTCTGGGGTGGGGAGAGGTCTTGCAGAAGCTGGGGCGAGCCTGCACCTGAGATGCCGTGGGAGCTGGCCTGCCCCCCACTGAGCCCTCTCCTCAGACCCCACAGGCAGCTCCCCGGGCTACTTGGAAGACACTTGAAGGGGTGGGTGGAATGTCCCCTCGCTTCTGCTCCTTTCCTGTCAACAGGACCCTATCTCTTCTCCTGGGTGCTGGTGTGGGAGTCAAAGGCCCCCCATGATTACGAATCACAGCTCCATGCTCCGGGGGTGCTGCCATGGGGCTTTCTAAAAAGGAAAAGCACCTGCCTGATTCTCAGATCCCTCAGCCCCAGGAGACCATAACTTTGGAAGGAGTTGGTGGGTGGACAAAGGGTAGCAGCCACAGGGGAGCCGCTGGGGGTGGGAGACAGCCCTGGGCTGGGAAGTTGGGAGACTTGAGACTAACCTGCTGTGTGGTCCTAGGGTTATCACTTCCTTTCTCTGGGCCTCAGTTTCCCCATTCATAAAATGGAAAGAAATTGTGCCCAATGTCCATCTGGTGCTAAATCCCCAAAGGACCTGTCCCCCAGCTGGGGTGGACCCTCTTCTTGCCTCAGAGGGGACTCAGTCTATCTCCACCCCAGTCTCCTTTGCCCCAAAACCTGTCCCTAGTCCCAAAGCCCCAGACCCCACACCCTCTTTTGGTTTCCTTGCCTTTCCCCTCCCCCCACAAGCCCCGCACACCCCAGCAGAGTCCCTGGGCAGCACAGTAAAGACGACTGGTTTCGGTATCAGTTTGTAAACTTTAAGGAAAATGTGTCTTTGTTTTCCTGTCCGCTATCGTCGGGTGTTGGTTTGTTCACAGTCAGGTGGTGGTCAGGTGTGTGCATGGGTGCGTGCGTGCGGGTGTGCGTGTGCGTCCACTCCTCGGCCTCGGCCCCCCAGTCCGCCCCCCGCCCCGGCCGCCCGGGCCCTTCCCCGAGTGCCCCCAGCCCACTCCCTCCGACCTCACCGGGGAGGAGACAGTCACAGCTTCTGTTGGGCCGAGACCCCCTTCCAGTAATCGAGGATGTCGTGCAGGTCCTCGTCCTTGGCGAACTGGACCTTCTTGCGCAGAGCGTGGCCCGCGGCCATGTACACCTCCTCGCGGTGGTGCTTCTTGTAGGGCCGGAAGCGCTCCCAGATCTTGTGCGTGCTCTCGGACGAGTACTCGGGGCTGGACGAGTACCCTGAGTAGTAGTGTCTGGGGGAGAGCTGCGAGTAGGTGGAGTCACGCTTGGAGCGGGTCAGCGGCTTGAGGAAGGACACGCGCTGGCTCAGGCTGTCGGCGCCCTCCTCGTAGTACAGGGCAGGGAAGCTGTGCCGGTGCTCGCTGCAGTGGTAGGCCGGCTTCACCTCCAGGTGCTGGATGCCACCGCCCCCACCGCTGCCCCCCCCGCTGCCCGCCGGCACCAGTGGGAGCCGGTCCAGCGGGCTGTTGAGGGGGCTGCCCTTCTCGATGTACTTGGAGTCACCCTTGGCCAGCCCCGCGGTGGCCGGGTGGTCAGGCACGTCCAGGCTGAAGACCTTGGCGCTCTTGATGGAGCCGCTGGATGACACGCTGCAGGTCTTGCGGGTCACGGCGGCATCGGCACTCAGCTGGCGCTGGAGCGGGTGGTGGGAGCTCTCCTTGTAAGGGGGTGAGAGGAAGCTGGGCCTCTCCAGTGCCCCAGGGGCAGTGGTCGAGGAGGCAGCACTGGCCGCAGGGAGGGACTGGCACTCAAAGGCCAGCTCTGGGTCCCCACTGCCACTGCCGCCCCCCAGGAAAGAGGCTGAGTCCAGCTTGAGGGCATCAATGCAATTGTTAATGATCTGGTTTACCTTGTCCACCTCCTTGGCGATGGTGGAGATCTCTGCAGCCGAGCCCTGGCCGTTCTCAAGGTCTGGGAGGTCATCCTCAGGCCGAGCTAGGCCATCCCCACCCGCACCCGTGCGCACCTCTATGTAATTTCCTTTGGTGGCCACCTTGGGCGTGTCCAGCCCGGCCTCCAGCCCCTTGGAGGTGGGCAGCTTCTCCCCGATCATGGAGGGGATGGACGACATGCGGGAGACAGGCAGCACGGGTGGCTCACCCAGCTTCTGGGTGGCATGGACGATGGAGCTGGCGTCCACGTCTGCCCCATAGCGCATCTCCAGGATGGTTTTCTTGACGTTGACGGATTTCTGCTTCTCCTCCTGCATGCGCCGCTTGCGCAGGCAGTAGTAGACAGCTCCCAGCACGATGACCATGCCGAAGAGGCAGCCCAGGATGGTCATGATGTAGTGGGTGGTGGTGGAGGTGCTGGGCGCCAGGTCGCCCGGGACAGGGTCCCGCGTGGTGAAGGCCAGGCAGGTGTGGTTGAAGCGGCGGCTGTTGCGCAGCGAGGTCACACAGAAGGTGTACTCGGTGTGCGCCCGCAGCTTGTCCAGCGTCACAATCTCCTTCTTGTTCTTGAGCGTCATGACGTCGGAGAAGTAGCTGTTGTTGTACTGGACCAGGACATACATCTTGCTATAGGGGTGGGGGATGATGACCACCAAGGTGGCCGAGGTGAAGGTGACATGGTGCAGCTTGATGGCAGGCCCCGTGGACGCATCTGTGGTGGATGAGGCCGGCGGCTCCACCGAAAGGATCTCGTCGGGATTGAAGCCTGAGTTCTCATCGGGCTCCCTCTGGGTGTCGGTGGAGTAGGGCGTGGGGTGGCTCACGGGCCGGGAGGGCAGCGAGCCATTGCGGCACTTGGCCTGGAGCACGGTGATGGCATTGAGGCTGTGGTAGGGCCGGGGCACGAGCAGCGGGTAGCCAGCAAACTCCCGTGGCGACTCGCACTGCAGGCGGTCGTAGTTCTTGGTGACGTTGTTGAAGACCACGAGCCAGGCAAGGAAGCCAAAGAGGTCACACTCACAGTTGAAGGGGTTGCCGGCCAGCTCGCACACCATCAGGCTGGCCAGGCTGGCAAAGGTGGCGCCATCAAGGCGGCTGAGACGGTTGGAGGACAGGTCGATGCTGATGAGGCTCGGGCACTCGGAGAAGGCGGTGGGCGTCACCACCTCGATGAGGTTGTGCTGGACGAAGAGGAACTGCAGACGGCTCATGCCGCGCAGCATGCCCTCGGTCAGGTTGCTGAGCTTGTTGTAGCCCAGCTGCAGGACCTGCAGGCTCGACTGGCCCAGGAAGGCGCCGTCCTCAATGTAGGAGATCTCGTTCTTGGTGAGGTTGAGGTCGGTGAGGTTCCCGAAGCGATTGAGAGAGGAGTAGAGCACGGCTTTGAGCTTGTTCTCATTGAGCCGCAGGTCATGCACTGTGCTGTTGATGTGCTGCGGGATGGTCTCATAGGGTGGCTGGTTCTGGCTGCAGATGGCCAGCCACACATAGCCCTTGTCACCCTCAATGAGCCAGCAGTCGGCGCGCACGGCACCCGGCTGGCATACGCACAGCAGCGCCGCCGCGCACAGCCCCAGGCGCAGCATGGCGCCGGCCTCGGCCCCCTCGAAGGCCAGGCTCGAGGTGAGGGGCTGGGGCACAGGAGGCCTAACAGCCGGAGGCTGGAGCTGGCAGCACAGTCCTCCCTGGGGTCGCCACCATCTTGGGGGCGACCCCCAGCACGGGGGCCCCAGGCAAGGTGGGCACAGCCAGTGCCAACTGCTGGGGGCCTTCTGGAGTGCTACAGCAGGTGCTGGGCCTAGGTGGGGCCGGGCGGCAGGGGGCCCCACTGCCTGCTCCCAGGCAATGCTCCCTGCCTCCTGCTGGGAAGGTGCACAGGCCCTCAGGGCTTGACTTCCTCTCCCTTCTCTTCCTCTTCCTCCTTGGGTTCCGGGCTCAGAACTTCAGACGATTCCCACAGGAGGCTGGAGAGTGCAGCACTGAGGGGGGAGCAGGAGAGACGGTGGCAGGAAGGAAGAGACCCATCTGTCACCTGGTTCCTGAAAGGCAGCACCGGGAGGGGGTGACAGATCAGTGCGAGGGCTCGGAGCAGCCCCTTCAAGCTTCAGCACCCCCAGTCCCTTCTTCAAACCCCCTCCCAGGGGTCCTCTGTGCCAACGAGCACACTGGGGTCCCTGTTACATAAAAGAAGGGAGGGCTGGTGGCTGGCAAGAGGGGAGGAGGGACCTGGGGGGCAGGAAGGAGGGAGACAGAAGAATGTCAAGGGAGTGGGGACAGAGTCTGAGGACGCCGGGCAGAGAAGGGAGACCAGAGAGGAAGAGGGGGACGTGCACAGGTATACACACACACACACCCACACTCACCCAAGCACACTAGTGTCCACACTCGTACAGTGGCCTGCACAAAGATCCATGTGCACCCGCGTGAGCCAGAACTCCATGGCATGCACACATAGACAGGTACACACACACAAGCACACCTATAATCTGTGCATTCGACAAACAGGCCCGTCCACAAGTGTCCACGTACCCAAGTGGGCACTCCTGAATCCAGATAAAGAATTAAGCCCAGCAAAATGCCTCCTTTCTTCCATGCCCAAAGATAAATAATTCATTTGTTGTGTAACTGCTCTTGTTCCAAAAATAATTCCCTTGTCTCAGCTTCCATGGGGGAGGGGGAGTAGAGCATCATGTCTGTGAGCCCCTCAAGCAAGGAGATACAGAGGCCGGGGTCTCCCACAGGAGGAGGACCTGGGGAGACCTCATCCTACAGGCAGAGCAGAGCCAAGGGAAAGAGAGGGCAAGAGTCTGCAAAGCCAGAGACACTCCCCACTGTCATCTCCTCAAGTGCTTTCCAGTAGAGCACCCTGATCCTGTAGGAGGCCTCAGGCCTCCAGAATGGCATGGCTGACACCCTTCATCCCCTTCCACGGCTGGAGAGTCAGAGACCCAGAGGGGGACAAGGACTTGCCCCAAGTAATACAGCACAGCCCGGTCCAGGATCAGGACTCCTGAGGCACCATGAGTCCAAGCCAGGAGTCAGGAGGCCTGGAGCCCCATCCACCCACCTCCGTTAGCCGGGTAAATCTCACCATCTCTCTGAGTCTGTTTCCACATCTATAAGGTGGAGATCAGGTCCAGGCCTGGCCCATTTGATGGGGGAAGAAGTAAGGTGACTCATGCTGCCCACCCCCAGGATGCAGAGGGGCAGGGGAGGTGGGCAATGCAGGGGTCACAACCCACAGACCATCTGCATCCATCCTCACTTTCCAAGTGGGGAAACTGAGCCCCAGACCCAGGGGAGACTAGCCTAGGTCTCTGAGCAAGCTGGACACAGCCCCTGCACCAGACCCCAGCTCCACCGCCCACCATGTGCTCTCAACTATGGAAACAGCACAGTTCTCCCTCCCTCTGCCCTGGGCAGGGACGAGGGATGTGAAGATTAGGCCAGAGAAATCCATGTTTGGGCAAAGAAAGCCGGAGACCGTTCACAAGAGCCATCTCCGCCTCCTGCTCCTCCTCCTGGGAAACTCCAGGAAAAGGAGTGCTTTGAAAAAATTTTTCTTCAAACCTTTGCCATTAAAGCAAAACCAATTTACAGCACTGAGCCCCAGAGGGTTGGAACAGAGGAACGGGAAGTGGAGAGGGGGAAGAATCCCACAAGAAGTCCAGAGCAGGCAGTTTTTGTTGAGGAGGTGGCAGGTGGACAGGGTGTCCAGATGACCTGCTGGATTAAGGCTGATGCTGCGTCACAGAGGCTGTGATGACCAGACCCTCTGAGGCAGGCCTCACACTCCCGTCCCCTGCAGGACTAGCTTGGTGTGCACGAGGCACTTGGGCAGGAAGGAGGGGTCCAGGCAACAGACCACATTTCTGTCCTTGGCTGTGCCGTGCAAAGGTCTCAGGGCTGGAAAGAATTTGGCTCCTGTCCAGCATGACCACTGGCTCCTAGGGGACCTCAGGCCAGTCCTACCCTTCTCTGGGCCTCGGTTTCCCCTCCTACAATCAGCAAGGTTGTAGTGGAGGAGGCTAAGTCCCCAAGCTCACTGCTTCCAGGATTCGTGAGCCGGCCTGTCAGAGAGCCCTCCGGCTGCTCCAAGTACGGTCCCTCCTCCCTGTCCTCCTCCATCTGGGAATGTCTGGGGACTGCATTTGTATGCAGGTGCATGCGCAGGTGTGGGCCGGCTCAGAGTGGCGATGCAGGAGTGTGCTGACGTGTACAAGTAGACGCTGCACGGGCAGGCATGTGTGCACACGTATGCGCGTGTGCACAGGATGTGTGCATGCATGGCCGGCTACAGCAGTGCATGCTTGCGTGTGGAGGGTGGGAAGGCACGCAGGTCAAGGCATCTTGGGAATGCAGGCAAACACCTGCCTATTGACCACGTTTCATTACACGTGTGTTCCACATGCAGGTGTATGTGCGTGTGCACATGCACAATCTTAGCCATACACAGCCCCCATCTCCATCCCCTCTATTCAGATCTGCACTGCTCAAACCAGCATCCTCTCAGCCAGGCCGGGGAGGGGGGATGCGAAGGGGGGTTGGGGGGTGAGTAGGAGAAGGGGCCCAGGTTTGGGAGGGGAGTTAGTTAGTCCTGCCCCAGGTCTTCCCAGCCCTTCCCAAACAGTCCAGGGTGGGCCGAGGCCTGCTGTGCCCCCTCCCCAGCCACTCTGAGTTCTGCCCACCTGAGCCCTCAAGGTGACCCTGTTTGTGGCCCTCTCTCCTGCTCCTATCCTCCCCCATGACTCAGATGGAGCCAGAAGCAGCCTCCCATCTCCCCATCCCATCCCGTGTGCGTCCTGGGCTGCCTGCCCGCCACCCATCGAGGCCTGACGCAGCCAGGGAAGGGGACGACGAGGCCAAGAAGACACTGACAGCAGCACTTGGCCCCGGCCCAGTTGCTCACCCACTCAAGGTGCAGGGCTGGGGGCAGGGGATGCCAGCCTGGGTTCTCTCAGGCCTGGGGCTCAGGATCCCCAGGAGGACAGACAAGGTCATGCCCTTCCCCTCCCCCCACAAGGGTCATCCTTCAACGCACGCTAGTGAGAGAAGCAGGGCCCTACCCCACCTCACACACACCTGGGAGGGAGAGGGAAGGCGGGGAGGGGGCTGTAGAGAGAAGGCAAGGGCTGAGAACGAAAATAAGAACAAAAGCAAATGAAAAGCAAAAACATGGAGACAGCCAAGTAGGGAGAGACAAAGGAAGAGAGAGAAATGGAGACAGCAAGTCTGAGATGCAGGACCCACGGCAGTGAGACAGATGACAGATATGCACGGGGACCTAGGCACCTGCTGACTACCCCACCCACCCTCTAGGGGCCAGGGAGACAGATGACACTGGGTCTGGCTCAGCCACCGAAATGCAGCCTGTGACCAGCCCAGAGGGAGGCGGGAGGCAGCAGGAAGCAGCTGTTGGGAAGCAGAGGCCTTTTCTGCCACCCCACCCCCTCCTCCCCACGCCTGCCACCAGCAGCCCGGGAGGTGTGTGGCCATGCACCATGCAGGCAAGCAGGACTGTGCATCCAGACAGGCAGTGTCGCAGTGTCGGCCAACAGCAGTGCTCCCGGCTGCCTGGGATGGAGCAGACCCCTCCCCCAACCCCGCTGGGCCTGACACTGACACAGGGGAGGTGAGGGTCATTACAGGGATGTCGTGGGAATGAGTAAACTCTGGCCAGAGAAGGGGCAGGACCCAAATGCCGCACCAGCACCTCTTTCAAGGGTCCCTCTCTCTTTCCACCACACAAAACAGGACTGTGGCAAAGTCAGGGGCAGTGTGCTATTGAGGAATCTTGCAGGGGGCCCCCAGTCTGACCAGCTACACACTGTATGATGTCAACAGAGAGAAGAGATAAGAGTCAGAGAGACCCAACAGGTGCTCACTGCTGAGGGGCAGAGCTGGTGTGGTGGTCTTGGCTCACAGCTGGGCAGAGCCACAGACTGCCTGAGTCACTCTGGGCAAATGCCTTCCCCTCTCTGGACCTCAGGCTGTAGCCGCCAGTTGATACAGTTGATTTTGTGCCCTTCCCGCCCAGGTGCCCGAGGTTCCAGGTCCCTCCATGGACTCAGAATCCTAGAGCCTCGGAGCTGGAAAGATGGGGAGCCCTCACTCAGCTCAATGCCAGCCTCTCTCAGAGGGGAAACCAAGGCCAGGGCAGAGGAAGGGACATGCTCAGGGTCCTACACCAAGCTGGTGGAAGCTCAGGCTCAGGACCCAGGGTGACAGTGACAGATCCCGATCTGAGCCTGAGTCCCCTGCAGGATCTTCACCCATGAAGTGATACAAGGGATCCCCATGCAGCAAGGCTGTGCAAGGAGGCAGTGAGCACCTGTGCTATGGCACCCAGCATGGGGCCTGGCCTCCAGAGTGGCAGCTGCCGTTGTTAACTAACGTGGGTTCATCATTATCTCTCACAGCCCTCAGCACCCTGGATTAGCGTTCCCCTGCACTCGGGTCGCATCTCCCAGACCCCCCACTACAGGCTGACCCTCTGCTCCACAGTTCGAGGGGAGTCTTGACCAACTCCCACCCCGCACTGTGAGGTGAGTAAGGGTCTGAGGGGGGTCAGGCTGCCCCCCAGGCTCTGCAGCCTCAGCATCCCTCCCTGGGTTGGTGAGAGGCCAGAAAGAGTGAGATGAGCCTGAGTGTCCGACTGGCTGAGGGTAGATGGGAGCCAGGGATGCAGGACTGATCAGTTCTGAGTCCCCAGGTGAACCACAGGCCCACTCTGAGTCTCAGTTTCTCCTTCTGTGTGTCCAGGCAAGTGCCAGCCATCTCCCAGGGCTTTCACGGAACCCCAGGACATGGTGGAGGCCAACACACTCCACATGGGGCAGGAGGCCCCACCAACGCACAGCTCAGGCTCCCGCTACTCTCCTGCAGGGCCACCCATAGGTCAGCTCCAGGGAGCGGGTGCTCCAGGGTAGGTGCAGTCTGTGTTCCAGCCTCCCAGGAGCAGGGACATGAGGCTCAGCCCGGGAAATCTCATTTGCAGCAGCTGATAAGTGCTGGCACGGGCTCCTCCCTGGGCCAGGCT